AACGATAAATACTTTTTTTTTTTTTTAATTATTTTTTTTGTGTGGGCGGGGAAAAAGAAACAAAAACAAAAACGAAACTCAAATGGAAGATTTTAAGTTAAGAAAAAAAAAAAAAAACGGATGTTTTATTGTTTCCTGTTAAGAAAAAGAAGAAGAAGAAAAAGTAAAAAAAAAAAAAAAACCAGAGAAAGTTCTAGAAAAAAAAAAGATAAAACTCTAAATTCCATCAATAACCTTTTTTTTCTCCCCCCAAAAAAAAAAGATTCGAAGAAAAACCTTTTCATTTATTTCTTATTATTTCTCGTGTTAAAAAAAAAATTTTTTTCCTTTCTATTTTTTTCCTTTTTTTCATAAAAATTTTCATAAAAAATAATAATAATGATGATGATGATGATAATTAACTTGTAAACGAAAGGAAAAAAGAGGAAATGACGTCGATGCGACCGATGCAATTAATATTTCCGTTTTGTTTTTAATAAATTTAATTTTTTAATTAGTTTTTTAAGGAAAAAATCATTTTAAAAAAAAAATTTTCCTTTTTTTTCCTTTTTTTTCCTTTTTTCCATTTTTTCCTTTTTTTTTAAATTTGAGATTTCTTTTGTTTAATAAAAAAATTTTTTTTTCTTCCCTTTTTTCTTTTTCGAAATGAAAGTGAAAAAATAATTAAAAGGAAAAATCATTTCGAAAAAAAAAATCCTTAATAAAATAATTAACTGGAAAAAAAAATGGCGGAATGTTTTACTTTTTTTTTTTCTCTCTCTCTTTCTTTCTTACTTTCTCACTTCCGGTAAATGTAAATTTAAACGCGGGAAAATTAAAAAAAAAAAAAAAATATAAACTCTCAACTTCCTGAAAAACAAAAGAGATGATATTTTGGAGAATTTTTTTTTTTTTTTTTTAAATAACGATCGTATTACATACTCATTTGAACCGTTTTTTCTTTTTTTTTTCTCCAGGTTTTCCTGTCACTTTTTTTTTTTACTTAAAAGGTATCATTTTCTTTAAAATAATAATGATAATAATGATAATAATGATAATAATAATAATAATAATAATAACAATAATACAAAATTCACGACGTGAAAACTTGTCAAAAGAAAAAGCAAAAAAGCAGGACATACAAAAATTTAATTTTTATCCAGGAGGCTGGAGGAAAAAAATATAAAAAAATTATTTTTGTGACGTCATTGTCATTTTTTTTTAAAACATGACGTTTTTTTTAAAAAAAAAAAAAAAAGTGTTTTTCTCCAGTGTTCTCCAGCGGGTGTAAAAATTTTTATCATCATTATTATTTAATTTATTTAGTTATGAGTAATATAAAAATATAATTTACTGTCGTCTCGAATGTAATTTCCTGTCGATTGACACTTGATAAAACGTATAATTCATGCTGCATGTGCTCCAGCTCCTGCAGCTCCCGCTTCAATTTTAATAATAATAAGTGACTGATAACACTGGAGAAAATTAAATTAACGCCCGATATTAAATAAAAAAATTTTTTTAAAGTAAATATTATCGTCGTTCCAGTCGTTGTCTAAAACATTTTTTTTATTTTATCCAGAGACTTTTTCCAAAATCCACGCACACACACACACACGCAGCAAATTATTACCTTTTCGAGTTTGCGATGACGTTCCAGTGTAACTGTTAAGCGTTGCTGCGCTTTGAATGCTACTGGATCTTTTAAATGCGGAATATCTTTCTCTACATTGCGGACAACTATCACTTTCGCTGTAGGATAAACCGCTGTTGGTCGTTGGCATTCGACCGTGCAACGTCCTACGAAAACTTCCAAAATCCGACCACCTCCCACTCACGGGAGGAGGCGGAGGCGGAGGAGACGGAGAACACGGTGACGACGCCGTCTGAAAATGTCCCGGAGAATGCCGAGATCCACAAATCACGTCATCTTTATCACAAAAATCCCTTTCCACGGGATGGATTTTAGTTTTTTCAACACAATCGGTTGCCAGCATTGATAATGATAACAAAAAACTTTTTTTTTTTTTTTTGATTTCACCTCATAATATTAAATTAAATTAAAAAAAAAAAAAAAACAACCGGAAAAGTCCGTCGCATAATTTTTCCCGATCAATTTTTGTCCCGATTCTAAAATGACATAAACGTAAAAACAATAACGTCTTCATTAATTTACTATGTATACTTTTCTAAAAATAAAACAAAGGAAAATTTAAAAGGAAAGAAGGGGGCGGGAAAAAGGAAAAAAAAAAAGAAAACAGTGTGATGCCACCACCGTTATGGTAAGAAAAAAAAAAATAAAAAAAAAACTTGAAAAGTTTTATGGAAGAAATCTTTCCTTTTTTTTTTTTTCGTTTGTTTTATTTTATTTTAACTTAAATAAAACTTTACAGACTGGAAAAGAAAATTTTTTTTTTTTTTTTTTTTTGGGGAAAAAGTAAAAACGGCAAAATTTTCCGTAAATTTTTTTTTAAAAAAAAAAAAAAAAAAAAAAAAAAAAAAAACAAAAATTTTTTTTTTTAATTAAATAAATTACGAAATAAATTATAATTTTCACAACAGGTGAGAGAATAAAAAAAAAGAAAAAAAAACCGTTTTAACAAACAAACAAACGAAATAAACGAATTCGAAATGGTTGTACGACAACAGTAAAAATTTCATTTAACATGCATTAACTCAGTATTTTAATCCCTTTCAATTAAAAAACAAAAAATAAAATAAATTTATGAAGTTTAATTAATAATCCTTTTCTACAATATTTCTAAATTTTCAACAAAATATACATAATATTACTGTAATAAATTACTTATCATTATTATCATCATTATTATTATTATTACTTCGTTGAAAGAAAATAAATTTTTTTTTTTTTTTTTTTTTTAAGAAAACACGTTTCTATTAATCGAATAAAATTTCATCAGAAATTTTCATTCATTCATTCTACTTATCTCTTTCTCTCTATCTCTCTCCTACGCTTTTACCTTTTATCATCATCATCATCATCGTTTTCCACTCCCCCTCTTCCCCTCCCTGTTCCTCCCAAATTTATTTTTCAATCCAATATAAAAAAAAATTCAGCTTTTCTTCTCTTTTTTTTTATTTATTAAAAAATATCGAATATTTTCCTTCCCCCCCTCCCTTTTTTTTCGTTACCTGGAGAAAAAATAAAGAAAAAGAAAATTTATGTTTTCATCGTCATAGGATAAATATAAAAAGGAAAATCGTGTCCACGTCTTCGTATGAAATTTGACAACATTGTAAAGGAAAATAATATTAAAAAAAAAAAAAAAATTTTCTTTTAATTCGAAAGACATGTAAATAAATTTCATTCCGCGGGGTTGGAAAAAAATAAAAAATAAATTAATATATGTACCGGAGGAAATCACGCGTAAACAAATAATAATAATAATAATAATAATAATAATAATAATATTTTTTATGTTTATATTGCGATAAAAAAATAGTAATAATAATAATAATAATAACGCAACGGAAACTTTTAAAGATTTTTAAAAAAAACTGGAATGTTTATGTTTAAAATTTTAATTTTTTTTTTTTTTTTTTGTTTAGAATAATAAAAAATTTTTTTAAAAACAGGAAAAGAGAGAGAGAGAGAAAACAATAAACTTTTTTTTTAGAGTAGTCGCTAAAAAGGCAATATAAACTTTTTTGAAAAGTTTATTTAATAAAAAATCATTAGATTAAATTTATGTTAAAAAAATAATTTCCCGCAATAAATTAGAGTTAAAAATCAGAAAACGTTTAACTTTTCATAACTGATTCATAACAAATAAAAAAAAAATCATTTTCGATAGATATTCCAGTGATTTTTTTGGAGAAAATCCAAATCAAATTGAATTTTTTTTTGTAAAAATTATTTTTGACAATTTTTAATATAAAATAATCTGATATAAAGTCCTTAAAAATTTTTTTACTCTATGATTTATGAATGTCATTTCGAATATAAAAAAAAAAATTACAAATTCCAGTTCCTGGATTGTTTTTTTTTTTTTTTTTTTTTTTTTTTGTAAACATCGATCGAGTGATATTTGACAAGGCAATTTTTAAGCTAAAATGTTTATTTTATTTTTTTTTTTCTGAGAAAATAAATAAAAAATAAAAAATTTAATAATAATACGTCACGACCCGATGGAGAAAACTGGAGAAAAAACTGGAAAATAAAATTGAAATTTTGTTTTTTTTTTTTTTCTTATCACAAGAAATTTTGTATTGAATTTGAAAATTAAAAAAATAAAAAACAATTAAAATGTCCGTGGAAATTAAGTTTCTACTGGAGAAGAAATTCTTTTGTTTTTTTTTTTCCAATATGGAATTAATTCCATACATGTCTAGGGAAAACAATTCCCTTTTCCCGTACAAAAAAAAAAAAGGATTGAAAAGATTATCGAGTGAGTGAGTGAGAGAGAGAGAGAGAAATAAAAAAAAAAAAAGGTTTTCATAAAAACAATGGACGACGACGACGACAGGTTAGTCACACGTAAGATTCAAAACTCTTATTATTATTCCTTTCATAATAATTCATAACTTTAACTTATTTAAACCGTCCGAAATTCAGTTCGTGTCATTTCCATTAGCCTCTCCCTCCCCTCTCCTCCCTTCCCCACCATTCCTGATTTTCTTCGCGTTTGGCAACGAATTTCCCATCTTTCCCCAAGGATGTATTTTCAACTTCTTTACGATATAATTATGAAAATTATGAAACCGTGGATAAAAACAAATCTTTTATCAAATCCAACCTCATTACATTCACTTCTCCTCCTTCTACCCCCCTCGCATCCCGTTCCCACCCCCACCCACCTAACAAACAAATAAAATTTAAATTTTATTATTATTATTGTTATTTTTTTCGTGTACAACGCCTTCTGTGCAAAAAAAGTGTGCAAATACCCAAAAACTCATCAATAGAGGGGGGTAACAATAATAATAATAATAATATAACGGTTATCATCATTATTATTTCTCCAAAAAAAAAACAAAAAAAAAAAACAATGTAAATTAATTTTTTTTTTTTTTTAAGGTGCTGGAATAAATTTAAATAAATTTCCAAGACCTCCGCGCGAATTTTATTTATTATTTGACTTAATTTTTTTACCCGCCCGAATTCGGCCATTTTTTTTTTTTTTATTCCCGGATCCTGGAGGATTATTTAATTGTTTGTCTGAAAATTGAAAACGAATCGGATTTCGATTATTATACGTTTTTACAAGACGTTATTTATTTATTTATGATAACTTTTTTTAATATTTTTAGGTTAACAAGTTTCTGGATAACAAGTTTTTAGGATTCGCATCTTTTGATTATTTTTTTTTTTTTTTTTTTTACCTCGGAGGAAATTATTTAACATGTCAGACATTTTTTATACTCGTTTTTTTTTTTTTTCGTCGATCGTATTTCAAAATTGTTTTCTCCAGTTTTTTTTTTTCTCCATAACGACGACTACTACTCGTTCTTAACAATAATGAATAACATATAGATACGTGCGAGTATTTGTTATTGCGGTTTTCGTAACGAAATCATTTCGTTTAATATAATAATAATAATAATGATAATAAAATTTTACGAAAAAGGTTAAAGTATCTCACGAAAGGTTAAAATTCAAAGGAAACATTCGTTCGTACATAAGAGAAAAAGGATTTAAACTATTGAAAATTAAACGACTGGAACGAATGTAAACACGCATGAGGTATGAGAAAAAAGTCGATTGTAAGTCAAATTGTAATTTTTCCTTTTTTCTATTCAGAAATTTAAAAGGAAAACTCAAAGGTAAAGTGGATGGAAAAGCGAAATAAAAATAAAAAAATGGAGAAAATTTGTTGTGTTTGTGGAAAATACAAAAAGTCATCGAGGGATGGATAAAAAAGAGGAAAAAAAAAGTTTAACTAAAAGAATTTTTCTTCTGCTTTTTCCCCCCTCCCCCCAATAGTTTTTTTTTCTTTAGGATTATATTATTAAAATTTTTTTTTTTTTAGTATTCAAAAATAAAATAAACTTATTTAATATTAAATAAATTAAATTTCCCCGCGTGCGTGTGTGTGCGTTTGGTTCGTTTGTTTGTTTGTTTGTTTGTTTTATTTTATTGATTTTAAATGAGAATTACCAAAAAAAAAAAAAAGTCTGGACGAAAGTGTTTTCGCCGTCGACTCGTTAATAAAATCAACTCGAAAATAATTAAATTATATAAAACGAAGTGAGAGAAATAAAAAACAAACAGACAAACAAACAAACAGACGAAAAACAATCATCCTTGAAAATAATTTAACAATTAAATTTTAAATTTTTGCAAAACCGTTTTCGATAAAAATTAAAATGGAAAAACTATATTGTTTTTGTGCGGTGTCGGGGAGCGGTTGTCGCGTGGTTTTTAAACAAAACAAAACAAAAAATTGTTTGTTATTAATTTAAGAAAACGTTTGTCGGTTGTTTTCATATAAAACAATTTAAGTTTTCAAAAAAAAAAAAAAACCGCAAAACATTAAAACGCTTTCAAATACAAATAATACGAATCCACGAAAATTTTCTTTTTTTTTGTGATTTCTGATTCCGTACAAACAAATAAACAAACAAACAAACGAGCAAACTTTTGATTTCAATATTAAATATTAAATATTTTCATACTTTTGCTACAAACAACCGATCCCTTTTATTAATGTATTTTTAATTATGTTTATTAAAACGTTTATCGATTTTACTACATACATAAATTACAATAAGAATAAAATTTACGATATTTATATTATTTTTTTTTTTAAATCCTTAATTCGCCCTTGTTCCAATTTTAATTTAATAATAAGTATTCTGTGAGTGTGTGTGTGTTTGTGTGTGCGTGCGCCCGCGAGTGTGTGTAATTCTCATACGTTTCCTATTGGGGGGAGGGTGGGGGGGAAGGGAAAACTAATAAAATTTAATTAGTCGTAATTAATAGAAAGAACAGTTCGATACTTATCGATTCGAAAATCAATAACGAGTTTAATAAACG